AAAGTGTCAAGTGGGAGTATTTGCCCTTGGTGAAAGGTGTGCTTTCTGTAAGGAACTTTGGTTTTATAGATATGTATTAATAGTTAAGCGAGGAATAATTTTGTTTTCACACTTTACTTTCATGCTCCCAAATGTACAGTATAAGATGTCAGTGTGGCTTTTTCCTAGGAAAAGGAGTCAAAGGCAGCAGTTTTACTTTTTAAGATGGTAGTTTTAAAATAAATAACCTATTGGTCCCTTGAAACATTAAAAAAAAGGAAGGAAGGAGGAGAACAAAATGTGATAGTACTTTTCAGACTAACTGGTTTTTATTTTTTGCATGAGCTTTTATTCATACACTTCTTGAGATGCAGTACTGAGTGGTATTCAGGCCTCTGGTATAAAACATATTTATATAGTTGGAGTGGTAGACTAATAGTATCCAGAAAGATGCATTCAAAACTATCACTGAGAAGTTTCCTTTTATTATGAGTTCTCTTATATATATGGGGGCTCTTGCATTAATATATATATAGTGTGGCATGAAGCCATACTTTTTGTTCATACCTCTTCTAATAGATTGGAACATTATTCAATTTTGCAGGTTTTTTATAGTATTCCTTTATAATATCCTGTTCAAGAACTTCAGCCTGTAAATCTCTTACTGTGTGATGAGGAAGGTTTAAATTTTCTGCAGTTGGTATTTGGATAAACTGAGTATCCCTTACCTGGAATTCTGAAATCCAAAATTGTCCACATGCATGGTTGAGATACTAACACCTATGCTTTCTGACAGTTCACTGTACACTAGTGGTTCCCAACCAATTTTTGACCAGGGACAACTTAGACCAGAGACTACTCTCCAACATTAGTACCAAAAGGATTATGAATCTGTTTTTGGTCAACTTTAGATTTAGTTTGGTTATTTGGAGTGCTGATTCAGAAAACTGCTTTGGATAGACCACATCAGCTCTAGATTTTGATACAGAACATATGCCATCCAGTAGTCGCCGTCTGCTCACACACAGAAAACCATATTTAAAAATCTAGAGCTGATGTGGTCTATCTAATGCAATTTTCTTAATCAGCACCCCAAATAACCCCAGGAACAGGCCTAAAAACGAAGACACCAAGAAAAGATATTTTGTGGTTGGGCAGTTTTATTATTTGTGGACTTTGTTAACTCTTAAAAGGGAGGGGAGGGCTGAGGTTGAAAAAAAATACAAAAAGTGGAGCGTGAGACCCAAGAAATTGTCCCTAATGGCTTCAACAACAACAACATTTACTTTGGGGGACTAAATAGGGCTGGTTTCCCATTACAATTCTGGGGTTTGGCAATGGGAGCCAGTAGTAATAATAACAACAACTTTGGGGGATTAAACAGGGTCTTACGAAGGGTTGCTTTCCCTTTAAAACTGATGTGTGGCAATGGGAGCTAATAATAATAATAATAATAATAATAATAATAATAATAATAATAGTTACTTTTGGCTTACTAAACAGGGTCTTACAAAGGGCTGCATTCCCATTACAAGTGATGTGCGACAATAGAAGATAATAATAATTACTTTGGGGGACTCTCTTTCACTCCCTTGTGCATGCCGCCAGGTGAGTCTTCTCCGCCCTGGCCTGGGAAGTGTCCTAAGGCCAAGAAAGCACTGGCGAGTACACAAGTACAACAGCCTTCCTTTCTTCCTTCCTTCCCTCGCTTGTGCCATTGGGTGAGTCTTCTCCGCCCTAGCCTGGGAAACCCCCCCAAGGCCGAGAAAGGGCTGGCAAGGGCAAGAGTAATGGTCTGGAGTCTCCTTCTTTCCTTCTCTAACTCTCCTTCTCTCTCTCTCTCTTTCAATGGCAGTACACACACCTGGCGCCAATTTCCCTGCATGTCTGGTGGACCTTATTTTAGGTCTTGCAGCTCAACAGTGGGCCGCAGGCCACAAGTTGGGAACCACTTCTGTACACAGACTTTGTTTCATGCACAAAATTACTAAAACTATTTTATAAAATGAACTTTAGGCTGTTTGTATAAGGTGTATTTAAAATATATGCACAATATCCTATTTTGTTTGTGGTCAGTGAATACTTCAAAGTGTGTACAACAGGCTGTTAGTAATTGTGAGAGCTAAAGTCCAAAACACGTGGAGGACTGAAGTCTGCTCATGCCTGGTGTACAGTATATGTATGTATGAATTGTTTATTGTACCAGCCGTAGGCTATGACATCAAATAATATGTAACCTTTAAAAGTACAATAAGCACGTTCCAATATAAATATTAAAATTTATTCCATATACTGTCTCTTTAAAATTATAGTAGCAGTGACATGATAACAATAACAAATGTGTAATTTGTACAGTATATGTAGGAACTGATACTTCTATTACACTATGTAACAAAAAAAATTGTTCCTGTGTTATAAATGTCATTTCCTAATTGATTCTATCATAAAAACATTGAAAAGTTTATTAAACTGCAAAACAACTTCGTGAGGATCATCCTGCAACACATTTTGCTATTGTTTTTTTAATTAGTATCTCATAGAGTCTCAACAAATGGCAACTACAAAAACAAAGTTTCTGGAGTATAACAACCACTCTCAAAATAAGTGCTGCACAATTAAACAGGAAATAACACTTTCAAACTAGAAACAAGATTTTTATTCAAATTTTGTTACATGATGTTATTTATGTGACTGTTTTATGCTGAGTCATTATGACATCTTGCTAGATAAATGTCATGAATATTTCCATACATCTTGTGTTAGTTGTCTGTTGCTGTCTTATATTTTGTAGCTGTAGTAACATAAGGCTACATTGCTTTTATTCTGTTTGTTGTTTTATCCACTTTGCCCATAGTGTTTTCTTAAAATTATATACAGGGCAAAAATAGTATTGGATATTTTGTATATTTTAGTTTATGTTTACCATTCATAATGGCATAATGAATGGTAATACTTTCAAATAACAAGTTCCCAGAAACATTTGATTGGCCTACATAGCATGTTACAAGAGATTATACTGTCAGAATCTTTTCCCTCACATTCATATTTTCCAAATTTCTACTTAATATCCATTTAAAAAACTTTTAAAAAAACCCTCTGAGAAGTGCAGAACAAGTTGTTAAATTGAATGCAACATATGGAACTTCTCATAGTGTTCTTTCCATCATTATTTTTTGTGACTGTGGCTGAAAGAAAGGACAAAAGGAATCTTATTGTTTGTAAAAAATACTTGTATTCATTCACTGACATACTTATAATTGTCCCTTTATAGCTTCTTGCAATGATAAGTGGTGCTTCTTGCTGTATAGTTGACTAAAATGACTATTTGAAGTTCTCTATATTTCCCCTAAAATAGTTTAGAGTATGAAAATTCAATGTTTGGAATGCCATTTGTTCCATTCAGTTATTGCAAATAATTATATGTGTCACTTAGAGGGTTTTTTTTAAAAAAAATAGAGTGAAAAGTAGTAGGGTTAGAAAAAAATTAAAGTACCGTATATAGTCTAGTTAGTATAAGCCTAGTTTTTCAGCCCTCTGCTTATTCTCAGGTAAGGGTCTTTGCGGGAAGACATAGGGCTGAAAGAAGGGCTTCTTTTAGCCCCATACTTTCCTGCCAGGACTCTCATCTCTCCGCACAGCAACCCGGCTCTCCTTCTCTCACGCTGTGTGCACCTTCCTCTCCTCCTTTTTCACGCAGGGCACGCCTTCCTCTCCTCTTTCGGTGCAGTGCACGCCTTCCTCTCTTAGTGCCAGTCTTTCCCACTTTTCCTTATTCATATACACACATCTTTTTCCTCAAAATAAACTATGGTGATTATTAGAAGGATACATAAGCACATTTACATTGAGGAAGGTTAGAATAATGATTTAACCAGAGTTGGTCACTCTTACATCAAATTACAGTTCTATGTAAATATTCAAAAACATTTAGCCTACTGATGCCTCAATTAATATAATTTTATTGGTCTCTGTTTTTATTTTGAAATTTACCAGTAGCTGCTGCATTTAACACCCTCGGCTTATACTCGAGTAAATAAGTTTTCCCAGTTTTTTGTAGTCAAATTAGGTGTCTCAGCTTGTATTCAAGTCAGCTTATATTTGAGTATATATGGGTAATATATGTTCAATGTAGAGGTGTCAAATTTCCCACAATGTTGAAGTTGTGGAGGGGATCAATTTTAATGGGTTTTTTTCCCCTGAGGTGACTGTGGAATGCATTTTCCAAAATAAAATGTGATGTTGGCATTGATTGAACATCGTGACCTGTAAGGATTTTTTTTTTTACTTTTGTCGTTTTGTTAAGAGTGGATAAAACAATAAAGAAATAAAAAATAGATGAAACCACCGGCATTAAAAAATTTGTGGAAATTATTTCTTCTCCATAGTGTGAATGGGCTATAAGGCATTTATTCCTATAAAAAGAAAGAGGGGATACTAGACCAGTAATTGTGGTGATTATAACTCTTCCTGTTTGTTAGTTTTAGGACAATTTTCCAAGATTAAACATATGAATAACTTGTCTTTATTTATCATTATAAGAAATCTGTAATCTATCCCACCCCCCATTTTTCCTTTTTGGGGTGGGGGCTTTTCTTCTGTTCCTTCATTTTTTTAAGTTAATGTGATTTTTAGTCTCATGTCTAATGTGTTTCATTTGCGCAACAGATTCATACACATTTGAAGATCCATTTCTTTTCGCAGGTTTTCCCTGAATTATAGTTGTAGGTTCATTACTTTAAATGTAATGTTAATGTTGTTGTTATTGTTTTTATCATTGATCTTTTCCACTCAAGATCCAATAGTCTGTTGAGTGAAGTACTTATATAAGTGGAACTGAAAGGAGTCCCTTGCTCCCTTGACACCCTCATGTCCCGTCACCAATTCCTCCAGATAACTGAGTGATCCTCCAAAACCAGCATTTATTTCTCTTGACTTTTTTTGTTTTGGGGATTTTTAAAACTTCCTTTCAGAAATGGAAGGAAAAGTTATTATCTATTCATGTGTTGATCTTTTGATTGCAGGCAATGGTGGCTTGCTATCCAGGCAATGGGACAGGATATGTGCGTCATGTCGATAACCCAAATGGAGATGGAAGATGTGTCACATGTATATATTACCTTAATAAGGATTGGGATGCCAAGGTAATTTACTGTTTCAAAGAGGGTTTTGCATGCTTGATCAGCCAATAATTTTTGAAATCATTCCAGTAAATCTATGCATATTCACTTAGAATAATACAACTTCTCCATACTCCCTGATGTGGCTCTTGAGAGCACATGGTAAACCATAGAAAGGGCTTGCAGCCAACTTTTGGGGTCAATAGCATCTCATTTAGTTACAGTACAGAAATATTTTCTCAACTGGGAGAGATAATTGACTCTTTTCCCCATTACTGATCTTTTCAGTACTTTACTGCTGTAAACCTTCCCAACTGAGAAAAATTGCCCCTAAACTTATATATCTTATGAGTCCAAAGGATTTCTCCTTTTTCATCAAGGTTGCAGTTTTGCTCAGTCCCTGTTGTCCAATCTGAGATGCTGGCTAGAGCCTTGGATCTGTGTTCCCCTGCTATTGATTTTGATTTTTGGTATTGGTTCATGGTTCTTTTTTTATGAATAATTTTTATTGAAGAAGTAAAATAGTAATTTTTAACAATATTTAAAAACGGGGAAAATGAGTAGGTATATCAACAATCTAGGTAAGAAAAGGAAAAAAAGAAAGAAAAAGAGAGAAATTGGTAGGGTATTCATTCATGGTTCTGAGTGGCCATACTGGCATCATTTCTAATCCTCCATCTTAGACCCTTCTCCTATTCAATGGCATGGTGTTTTTAAAACATTGCTGCTATTGTCCTGCTGTAGGTAGTGTCCCACTTTTGCTTGTTTCAGGACATGATATTTCCAGTTTTCTTTCGGAATCGCTTGAAATCCACTGATTTGGCATGACATCGATTTAGATGTGTGAAGGATTATTACATTCAGTATGTTTAGAAGAAAAAAAAATTAGTCCTGGAAAGGGTTTTACCTATAGAATGGAATCCCTCAGAAATGGGTACTCCAGTGTTCCCAATACATTTCAGTGGGTTACCACTACCATTTGCCTGTATTGTGGCCAAGGAACCACTGCTTCCTTCAGTCAAGATTTTTTCCCCCAATAAGTTTTTCTCAATATTCCACAGCTGGACATTTTTAGTTGTTTTTAGTTCTGATAATTCTTTGAAATTGTTGATAGCAGTTGTGAATGTGAAGCACTGTTCTTGTTTTTAAAGATAAGTGGAGGTATTCTTCGAATATTCCCAGAAGGCAAAGCCCAGTTTGCTGACATTGAACCTAAATTTGATAGACTGTTGTTTTTCTGGTCTGACCGCCGCAACCCTCATGAAGTGCAGCCTGCATTTGCTACAAGGTAAAATTAATGAATGTTTGCATACTAACTTGTATGCTCACAAAATGGGTGGGAATTGAAACCCTGCCAATACTGTTTTGTTTTTATAGTCAGTCTTGTGATTGTCTTGCTTATTCAGGATATGTAACTTATGCTTCTCTAGTCTTGAAACAGGAGGTTAAACTTGGAATAATTACCGTCATGCTGCATTAGCATAAGTTACAAACTAGTGGAAGTCAATAATTTGTCATAATTCAAGAATGTATTGAAATGATGAAAAAAGTAGATTTCTGTGTAGTTGCAAGGTGTTTTTTTCTTCAAGGCATATTGAACCCCAATACACTTAGTGGTTCAGGAGAAAAACATTTAAATTGAATTTATAAAGTCAGTGAATATGAAGGGATTAATTATGGAGGCCAGTTTCTGAATATGGAAATGTTGACATACATTTTGTTCTTTGATTTTGTAATATTTAAGAAAAGGGGGATAAAAACAATTGAATTGATCAGTGTACAGATAACTCCTATTGGTTAACTGGTCTACTCAAATTTGGGACTTAGCCACTTTATATATTTCTTATTGTTAGACATGTTCTGTTTTCTGAGAAACTGGTGCCCATTGCTGATGAACAGTAGTGTCATTTGCTTTGCAGATGGCATGCAAAATCTTACTAGTAAGTGGAAAATGTAACAAGAATGTGACATTTACTCAGTGTAGCCTTCCAGTTGGACTCCCCTTATTCATCTTATTTTTGCTGGAGCCCCTGGTAGTGCAATGGTTAAACCCTTGTGCCGGCAGGACTGCTGACCGATAGGTCAGTGGTTCAAATCTGGAGAGAGTGGGTTGAGCTCCCTCTGTCAGCTCCAGCTCCCCATGCGGGGACATGAGATAAGCCTCCCACAAGGATGGCAAAACATCAAACATCCGGGCGTCCCCTGGGCAACATCCTTGCAGACCGCCAATTCTCTCAAACCAGAAAAGACTTGCAGTTTCCCAAGTCGCTCCTGACACACAAAAAAATCTTATTTTTGTTAAGGCTCTGGTCAGCCTTGTCTATAATGATATTCAAGTGTTTCCTAATCAGTTAAAATCATAAGAGAAATTTTCGTTCCTCACTTTATTGAGTCCATTTTTTCCTCATTCAACAGATAAAGTGCTACTCCTGTGGGAGTCTGCATGCTCATGTTGGATCCGGTAAACCAACCCATCTTAAATTTGCAAATATTTTTACATGAAATCATGCACACCCCACATGTGTATATGACATCATGCACACCCCACACATGCATGCACCATCACCACCATCAAATCATAGATCATATATGTCCCACAAAGAGATCAGAAAATCCAGGCTTTGCAGCGACACAGGGGCACATCCCCATGGACTTGAAGCACAGATAGTTCTAGATCCTCCATGTGTTTTGGACTTCAACTCCCACAATTCTTAATAGCCAGTAAGTTAGCTAGTATTTCTGGGAGTTGAAGTCTAAAACACTTGGAGGGTTGAAGTTTGCCCATGCCTGTTCTAGATCCTAATGATTGCCATAAGAGGTGGAACATGTAGATTCATACATTTTCTATGATATGCTTGTTTCAGCATTCCAGTTCTGGCCAGTACCAGATCTGTGCTTTTTAAAATTCAGGTATATAGTCGACAAAAAATACATTTGTGTTTTAATAGTGGCTTGTTGGAGGAAAATCTCATCAAAATCATGCATATCAATTATGCCCCTTTTAAATGACGTGCCTACATTGTCCTGTGACAACCATTTTGTAATTTTCCCCTCGATATTTTTAAACTTTTGGAAATCTGCCAATGGGCCTAATAAAGATTGTTGATTTCTGATATATTATGAACCAAAGGGACTCATTCTGTATATTACTTAGAGGGAAAAATTGTAACAAGTTATTATTTCTCTTTTAAAATGTCTTTCCTGATAATCCTCCACACTGTTGAGATATGAGCTATCAGCCTGTCCAGCTAGAAATACTGTTTTTCAAAAAGAAAAATATTGTGGTCTTGGAAGTCCTGTGGAAGATCTCTACAGAAGCCATGATGTCCATTATCACCATATTAAGAGGAGGCAGCACCACAAAAAGTGAGAAGGGGAGTTAGACATAATCCTTTGTCAAATATCACTAGAAAGATATTTCAAAGTGTGTTGAAATATATTTAAAAATGTGTTACTGATTTGTTTCATTCATTCTTTTAAAGGTACGCAATAACAGTGTGGTATTTTGATGCAGATGAACGAGCCCGCGCAAAAGTAAAATACTTAACAGGTAATTTGTTTTTCTGCGTTCACATTTTTATTCTCCTCCTTATTAAAAAAAATCTCTATTTCTTAACCATGCATTTTTCAGAATATTAACCATGCATTTTTCAGCAATATCTGCTGAGTACCATGCTCATTACAGAGACAATTAATAACTGAACGTCTGTGTTTAAAAGTTAAATATAGACAACTTTAATGTCATTTTATTTCATCCCAGTGGCTCAGCATCTTTCTAACATCCCTTATTACTAAAATCTAGTTGAATCAGACCACTGTAGATTATGTTGAAAATTCTGATTAATTGAACTTTATACTTGGGATTTAGCACAAATGGATTACTCAATAAATATATTGAAATGCCCTAATTTATTTGTCATTAAAATTGAATCATGTCATCCAAGAAAAGGAGTATAAGAGAGGCATTGACAAATGGACCAGTGCAAGGATAGAACAGATTCTATGGATGGTGGGACATACTGCATCTGACAGGGTTTCACTGCATCCTCCACATCACTAAATATTGAGCTCTCAGTATTCATGGAGGATTGGTTTCAGAATCTGCCACAGATATCATAAAGCAAGGATCCTCAAGTCCCTGTTTTGGCAGCAGCATAGGTGTGGATGAGCCCCATATGAACAGCATGAATCCACTGTACACAATAACAGAATTAGTCACCAAAACGCACATCTCCTATGTCCTTCATGGGCAGCTTCCAAATCCAAATGCTGTGGAGGTTGTACCATAATTTGATAGCTGTTCTCAAGATGTATATTGCTTCCTTGTTTGCCATGTGCGGAAATACAGTGGCAGCTCCAACAGCTTTCTGTAAAAGAGGAGAGTGGCATAGAAATAGAAGTTAAATATTACTATTCATTAAAGAACACTGCAATTGGCAATATACTTTAAATCAATGTTTATCCACTCCTGTTCCATGGATCCCCCCCTCCATGGCAGAGTGCCTCCTTTCTTCTCCATATGGAAAATTATAAATACTGTTTTTGTAGTGTGCAGAAATTTAGCAGTGGTAGTAGCAGAAACCCCATACATTACCCACTTACTATAATTCTCTCTTAATTATGGCATTCACTTTTTCCCATTCAAACTAAAACTAAAGCTAACCATGTTAGCCAAAAGAATAAATTGAGAGCAGTAAGTCAACTAAAAGCCCACAGAGTATTATGCAAACTTTCACATTCTGCAGAACTGTTACTCAAACAAGATGTTAAAGTCCAGTGGCATGAGGAATTGAGCCTTAAAATAAGGAGACTTATCTAGTTGCAATTTTAATATGAAAAGTGGGAAGAGCCTTTAGTTGTTAAGATTAGGCTGTGCCATGAACTGAGATAAGTTTGTGCACCTGAAACTCTCCAAAGGGGTTTTCAGAAGGAGAAAAGGGGTGCAATTGGTTTCTTTATTGATAAAGCATTCTGGGGAACTGAAAACCTTGCCAAACATTTTGTGACATTTCAGTTGGATCATGAAATGGTATCACTCTGAATACTAATAGTGATACCAATTGCCGTATATACTCATGTATGACTCAGTGGCAAGTTTTGGGGCCAAAGTTGAGAACCTTTATATGACTAAATCGAGTTCATATTACAGAAACCCCTCTTCCTCTCTCCACCACAGTGGGGAAGTGCCAAAGAGCACTTACATTTATCCATACACAAGGTAACTCAAGTTTTGGGGGTTGATTTTTTTTGGCCAATTTTTAAAAAGTTATTCACAAACATATATATGAAAATTATTTATTTAATTTATTTATTTACTGTATTTATATACTGCCTTTCTCACCCCTGGGGGGACTCAAGGCGCTTTACAACATACTAATAGCAAAAATTCAATGCCAAAATACAGTACACAAAGAAATTATAATAACTAATTACTACATATAACTATGAACTTAAAATCAATTAAAACCATTAAACATAAGACAATAACATAAGACAAAAATTACAGCATTGTTTGGGCAATTATCTAGGTTGAAAAATAAAAATCAGAGTTAACCAATCTCGGGGCATTGCAAATTATAGAAATGGGGGAAATTGACCAAGGTAACATCCTTCCCATTCAGCCAACAGAAAAACCTCAGGTGTATTAAAGTTTTCCATTGGTAAAGGGGACCCTTCTATCCAAGAAGCTTTTGCTGGATGCAGCCCATTGATATTCTTTATTTAATGTATGTTTTCTGTTGCAACAGTTAAGGTGGTACTGACTGTTTTAGAAGATACCACATTTCATCCTTGGGCATCTAAAATGGCTTTACATTCTTGAAGGTATTGAGGTGTTTTGTTAATTCCTAGAATATCTGTGTGTTTAATCTAAACTGAAAGTGACTTCATTCTTTTATATATGTTGTATCTGATTTAGACGTTTCTAGAACATACATTAGTATAATAATCTCTTATTTTCTCTTTTTTCAGGTGAAAAGGGTGTAAGGGTTGAACTCAACAAACCTTCTGATTCAAATGGGAAAGACCTTTTATAAAGCCTTTGATCTAGCAATTCCTTGGCTCTTCTCCTCCTGCCCCCAAACAGTCCTTGGCGCTGTCTGTAACTTTTGAATGTGAATATTAAGATAAAGGAAAATCAACGCCAAATCAACACTTGGAATAAACCAATCAATAAATAATAAGTTTCAGTGTTGCATCAAATGGATTTTGTAACTGCTGAAGCGTTGTACTACATGATTGTGACTCCAGTCCTGTGACTGCTTATTTGAAGATAAGCATTGAGAAGAAACAGCTTACACATGAAGTGCCCTACATAGTTTTCTATTGATATTTTGCCATTCAGTCATCCGGCTCAATGTTGTTCATCTCCCTCTTCTTCTTCTTTTTTTAAAAGAAAAATGGTAACATTTGAATTTTATTTTTTTGTATAAACCAAGTTCAACTGATCAAAATTGAGCAAAACAAATATTATTCTCCGGAATACCATTTATCTATTTTTGTAAATTTGCTGTTCACACTGTTATCTTACCATGTAAAACCTAATTTAAATAAGAGTTGCCAGTAACTGATGATCACTTTGTCTTTTCACTTAAAATCCCAAAAGGAGCACTTTAATTACCATCTGAACCCAACTGTTTTTGTTTTCATATCTTACACTAATTTGAACATTTTTTAAAAGATTGCTGCTGTATTGTGTTCTTTGAAACTTTTAAAAAACTGAAACAGATGCCTATCTTGCTGTCAATTACTTTGTTAAATTTGTGGTTTTATATGTTGAATGCAGAAAGCAAGTATTCTGTATACTGTCTCATTTGGGTTTTCTAAGTGACTGGCTTGCACTAAGTGAACTTGACGCTATCTGTACTGTCCTTGGTGTTGAAAACTGTGGGTACAATCCATTGGGAATTTCATCTGTGAAAGCCACTTGATAGAAGTAAAAATCATTCAGAAACACAGCTGTGCTTTTTTGCAGCTCTTGCTTTTGATAGGGCTTGTGCAGATGGATTATCAAGTGGAATATGCCCATAAGTACCATCAAACCCCTCTAACCAATACAAGGGCTTTTCTAGGCTTTTAGATGTACCAACAAATACCCTTTCTACTACCTTGATGGGAGACCTCTGTTTTGACTCTTTTAAAAAAAGCTTATTACCTGCCACTGTAGGGCAATGCAACTTAAAATCAGAGATGACATTTCTCTCAGAGCAGTAGTATTCCTTCTCATTTACAGTTGAGCCACTTGATCTTACATAGTGTCAAGGCTGTATTCAGTGCATTAATACTGAAGTGCATCACTACGGCCTTAATAATGTAAAGGTTGTCGTACTGCTGAGAAAATTTAACATTGGCTTCTGATCAATATGGAGATGTTTTTAGACACAGGAAAACAATTACTCACTTTAAGGTGGTGAAGCAATAACGTTCCCTCAACAAGATATTTTGAAATGTTTGTTTGGGAAGGGATGGCTGTGTGCTCAAGAATAACCCCTGAAGGGAAGTTTTCATTCTACCAGCCTTAGAAACATGAGCCTCCCTACACAATATTTCATCACCTGCCCCTTGATTCCCTCAATTCAATCAGAACAATGTGAGTGTACAGAAATATTTCTGTATGTACAACCTGGAACATTTTTAGCATCTGTATAGTTTGTATTCTTATTAGAGACCTTTTCTATGGAAAGTTCAGTAATTTTTATTAAAAAAAAAACCTTACTATTCATGTAAAACATGAAAAAGGAGTGTATTTAGTGACAACTGACAGAAGAGGGAAATTCAGTATTGTGATAGCATAATTGGGGAACTTGTGACAAGATTTCTGGGGTTTTTTTTTTTGTCCCTTCCCTCTCCCCTACAAAAACAAGCTGTCAAAACTTTTTAACAGTTTTTCTCTTCATCCTGGTAAATCAGAAGAAAACATCTCTATTGTAAGTGCCTCTACAAGCCTGACCAAGGAGTGTAAATCTTCTTTTCTGTCTGGTCTGCAGTGCAATGCACTGTTTAGGCCTAAAGAACACCATTTCTGACTCTTAACTGCTTTTGTATTTTGTTTAATATGTTAGAAATGCACAACATACGCCTTTACATTTTTGTTTGTCCCTCTGTTCAAAGTATTGATGTCTTACATTTGTGCTTGCTGGGGAGATTTAAACATGTTTAAATCTCTCAGTTTGTTATTTTCAAAAGATCGCCGAATTGGGTCTTATAACAACTGTTTAGAAAACCATTCATGTCAGTTTAGTCTCTAGCCTTGGGCATCACCAAGCATTAACCTACCAGTTGCAGACTGTTTTTAAACTGTCTTATGGCCTGTATGTGTGTTTAGTCCTGGTTAAAGATAAAGCTTCATAATACTATCTTTATTTCATGACATTAGCCAGCTGTAAAACACAAGACTTTTATCTAGCAGGCAAAGAAATTCAGGATTCATTTGCAGATTTCCTATGAAGTCATGTAACTTTTGAAAAACAGTGTTCATTACTGAAAGAGCTCTCAAGTTGCTTGTAAAGCTAACCTAATTAAAAGATGTATAAAGGTTCTTGAAACAATGTGGCGTTTATTTGGAATTATTTAACATTTTAAAAGTTTGCACTACAGTACTACTTAATAATCTGATTGTGTGTATGTGTGTTCAGCAGTCAGTGACATTGCAACTTGCAGTCGAGGGTCTTCTGCTAGCTTCATTTGTAAATCCTGTTTTTAATTATCTAGCTGTGATTAGCTATTAAAGAAAATGAGTGAGGGTAAGGGGTGGCCTGTGGAGAAGATGACTGCTAGTAATTTCACCCCCTGCTTTCATAATACCATCAATGCCCATGCTGTTGTCTCTGTTCACCACTGATACTTTATATCCTTCCTGTGTCATCCTTGAAGTAGCTTTGAATAATAGTAGCTTTGAACATCTCATGTGCTCAGTTTGAACTTTCCTTTCTTTCTCCTTTTGCATTGCTTTCTTATCCTTTACTCTTCTAATCTCTTTCAATCTCCATTTCCCTCCTCATCTCTCATCTTCAGTCCATCCTTCATTTTCTCCTTCTTCTTATGCAGCTACTTCCTATAATGCAGAGCTTTCCAACAATTTTATGTTGGCTACACACTTTTTAGACATGCATCATTTTGCAACATCATAACTCAGTTTTACTAACAAACTGGGGGTTAAACGAAACCCTTTGTAATGACAATCTTTTATATTTTCTAAAATACATACTTTATTGCTTATTTGACATCGACACTGGTTTCTCATTATGGTCACACTATACATCTACACACGAAGATGTTGTGGCATGTTACACCACTAGATAGTGTACTTCAGACATCCTATTCCTACAAAATCTCAGGGTGACAAGGGGAGGCAATGGAGGGGGAAAGAAAAAGACAACATAGTATACAATAATGTTATCCCTCATATTTTTATTGGGGTGGGAATCATAAAAATTATGTTGACTTTGTTGAGGGTAAGGTGTTTGACATTCCAATACTGTGTAAGGTTTTGCTTTGTTTTCAGAAGACTGAAACCAGTGTATTGGTTCTGAGCCTGCTTTATGTGTGTATGTGCTTGCAAGTGTCATGTTGACTCATGATAACCCCAAGAATTTCTTAGAAGTTGAATGTGAAGGCCTTTTTGCCAGTTCCTTCAGCATGTGGTATTAATTTGTGGTCCCCCATCCAAGTACTCACCGGAACTGATCCTGCTTAGCCTCCAAACTCAGAAGGGAGCTGGGTGCCTTTATGGTATTATGTGCTATTCGGTTTTGGTTTTGCAGAAAACCGGTACGGTAACATGCATACATTGATTCCTATCTCTGCTCCCTGTCTTAAATTGCTGCATACATTTTAGCTGAACTTTTAAGTGTTACTGTTTTAAATACAGTAATTTTCAAATGTGTGAAATAATCTGATTCTTTGGACACTCGTTCAACTTCCCTCTAGCCAGTCCTGTTATTTTAAAAAGATTTCCTGTTTTCAAATTGAATGCGACTGTATTGAACTTCCTTGGCAATTTTCCACCTCTGTACTAAATTTGACCATGCTATAGTCACTGTTCCCATTTGATCTGTGAATATAATATAACTTGCCCAGTGTTTTTGCTTTTGACTGTCTATTTGTTGAGAGAAGTAGTAGTATGGTCCTAGTATCAAATTGCTTTTTGAGACTTAATAGAGTCATCTCAGTCTGTGGAAAAGTGCTCCTTTGTGTATATTTTTAATTAAAAGCTATGCAAAGCATTGAGCCCCCAGTGGCGCAATGGATTAAACCCTTGTGCCGACAGGATTGCTGACTGAAAGGTCAGCGGCTCGAATCCATGGAGAGCAGGTTGAGCTCCCTCTGTCAGCTCCAGCTACCCATGCGAGGACATGAAAGAAGCCTTTCACAAGGATGGTTAAAAAAAATCAAACATCTAGGTGTCCCCTGGCCAACCTCCTTGCAGATGGCTAATTCTCTCATGCCAGAAGCAATTTGCAGTTGCTCCTGACATGAAAAAAGACTACCTCCAATACATCCTTTCTTGTACTTTCTGTGATGATTGTTAAATATTTCCATTCCATAGCAGGTTTCTGCTATGGTCACAACATTAGTGTTATTAATTAGCACCTTTAACACCTTTATCCTCGAATCCAGGAAGCATGTTCAGTGTTGGTCATGCTGCAAAGTAAAATATGCAGGAAAGAGTGAAACCAAATACCTGGGAATCAAGACACAAGGGCACTTAAAAATCAGTGAGGCTTCTACCTCTGCCAATGGTAAAACTCTGTTTTAGGCTATAATTGACTGTTTTACTTATACATCACCTAATGTTTTTTTCCCAAATGTAGCAGTACAGAGGCTCTTTGACAAATTCAATGCTCTCTACCTAAGAAGAGCCTTTGACTTGACAAAACAAAAGGGACATCCTGGATCTAGTGACGAATTGCTTTGCTGCTGCAAAGAGTGTTAAACTTTCTGCCCTTTGTCTCGGTTGCCACATGGCCAAAATGGTGGGAGTGGCCTCTACTGGCATGAGACACCCCAACAACAAAAACAATGTCTGAGACAAAATGTAGGCCTGTGGCTGTAACCCCATCACTTATTTAATCTTTAAGATCTCTTAGCATCTTTTACCTGAAGAAGCCAGTAGAGCTTTGAAAGTGTCATGTGTGTTGTGCATGTATTTAGGATTTTTTCTTATCCTACTTGTAGATCAGAGGATCCTGTTTTTTCAATAACTCTGAGGCTTTGAGATGTTCCTCAGGTATAGAAGATTGCATCATTGTTGGGGAAAAATATCACTTGACAAACTTCTCCCTGCCTTTTAGCTATTAGAGATAAAATGATTACAGCAATAGCACACTGTCCTTTTCTTGTGATGTTTCCATGCAAATCACTTGCCTTGGGGGGAATAATAATGTAAGCTTCCACATTCTTCAGTAGCAGAATCCTCATGGATAAAACTACTTCCTCGTTCGCCCATTTCCCCCAAAGGATAGTGCTCAGGTTCACACCTTCACCAGCCTGGTCTGGAATATTCCCAACATGTGTTTCCTTGTTTGTTCCATATCCTGTCCTTTATGTTTGGATTTCCCAAACACAGAAAGAGCAAGCCAGACAACGGGTAATATGCAGGCACTTGTTTTGAAGATGTCACTTTTCTATGGACTCGGGAGCTGTGTAGGCTTCAAAAAGTATGTGCTAGGACATCTGACCTGCAAATTAAAGGCAACATGCTATGACAGAGGTTTAGCCCTCCTTTATATCTTCCCACAGCCACCTTGTGTTTGATATGTGATGTTTCTGTCCAAGTCCTCACAAAACGTGGCTATAGGAAATCCCATGTTTTTTTAAGCTGACATGAAAAAAAATGTCTGACATTGCCTGGATGGAGCACCACCTAGTGTTTGCTTTTAGAAAATGGAACTACTGAAAAAAGTGTTGGGTGTTCTGACTTTAATAAACAGCAACTCTAAAAGCATGGGTATGTATGATGTGTCCCTCCAGATCTTATCTGACTGCAGCTGTGCCAATGCTAACACATTCTGGGAATTATGGTCTAACTACATGTGAACTGCCACATGATTCCTATTCCTAATTTATGGTCTGTGGTATAGAAATCTAAAATCTCAGCTTTTTGTTGTATTTGTCTTTCATGTATTCACATGAAGTGCTACTTTTGGGGCGAGAGGGATCAAGGGATTGTATTTTAAAGAAAATGATATTCACATTTGAATTTCAGTTCAGTTTATTCTATTGAATCATAGCAATTATTATGGTTCAACAAAATAAATTTTGGTTGCTATCCTATTAGTGAATGAAAATAACATAAGTTCATCTTATGTCACTGCAACTAGTTTTTAGTCATTGCACAGGTTAGGATATTGTTCCAACCACAGAACAACCAAAATCCTCATCCCCAAACTTTGTCAGATAGTGAGGGGGGGGGGGGGTGAATGGGACATAGCTTAATTCCATTCATCACTTCGTGCTCTGAAAATAAAATTGCCAGGTTGGAGGGCTATACTGCTTAAAATGTGTTTTGGAGGCTATAATCCCGATACCTAGTTACTGCATATTTTCCTGATACATCATCTCAGCTGTAATTTTGAACACAGAACCAGCATTTTTGCATCCTCCATATTAACCCCACAAAATGTGAAATGTCATAAGCTTGCTCTATAAGACAATCACACATTTCCCCAACTGCCTGAAAATCCTGACCATTCTAAGGTTTGATAGGAAGATGGGTTTGTGCAACTAAATTCTAGGGACAAGATATCAGAATGAGTTGGAAAGGATCTTGGAAGTTATTTTCAGACTAATGGTTTCTTCAGAGCAGGATGCAGCTACAACATTCATGGTAGATTGGTACCTCATATTTCCAATGAAGCCCACCATACTTGACTCATGTTCCACTATCAAACAGCAGCAGAAATGCCTCCTGTGTTCAAATGATTCCTAACAATCTCCTTTCATTAGTTCTAATCTCAGAGCAACACAGATGTTTGTGCCATATTTTACATATTATTCCTTCATGTTGAAAAATTCCTGCCGTTATACACCAAGCACTTGTCCACTCCATCCCAACGCTCTTTTGATAGTGGGAATTGTGCCGCTCTCCAAATATTGATTGTACCTCCCAAAATTCCATGCCATTGACTATGCTGGTAATGGCTGAGTAATGGCTTCAAACACAATAACCAGAAGGCTGCACAATGCCCACCGCTGGCTTTTGCAAATCAACCCCTTTTGAGATACATTATTCATACAGCACACTTATAGACACAAAATATGAATTCTATCATCAGAATTTTGTGGGTTTCTAGCTCAGTGCTAGCGCATGAAATAAAGCTGTACTCTTAACAAAGGTTTCCTAAGAAGCTGATTGTAAAGTGTCAACTTTGAATGCTGTTTGTACACACCAAGTTGTGCAAAGCCACTCTTTCTGTGAGTAGCCTCAGCACAGTAAACTACATGTAGAGCATTTGATGGGGGAATTATTTCTCTGTTGATAAGCATCTCATACTAGGACTGGCCTATGACATGTGTGCTACCTATTGGTAATAGGACACACCTAGCCACTTACTAGGATCCATTTTAATACCTGTAAAAGTAAAAGTCTCAGTTTGACTTGAACTGAGTTTACCTTACTGTTCTACAAATATATAACTGCCATTAAACCATGAAATTTTCGCCACCATATCTGAACATACTTTTCAATTTATGCCTCATAAGCCAACAATTTACTGTGTTCTGCAACTGTTAAGAGGCTGCTACAGAGGGGCTCCAAACAGAGCATAACAGATTTGAAACTAGATTTTTATACATTTCCTTCAAATATAGATTGCTTTGTCACCCGTCTCCCAACCTCATTTGGCTGGACACACTTAAAGATTATCATATATTGATATTACTTTTACAAGTTGGACTAAATTCAGGACTGTGAGAAAAAGCTATCTGTTTGAGTCTTTCATATCAGAGAAAATGAGGCTAGAATGTTTACTGTTACTTCAAGCGTTTCAGATGCAATGTTATCTCTGAAAGCCAGAAACAACTTGCAGTCTTGCAAGAAGTGGATGATTGGCCATGGTGGTCAAGGTAGGCCATTCTAGACAAGCCTTTGGTTTGGTACCAGTACAGCTCTTCTTGTGTCTGCTTGGGAAATATTTTAAGTGACAAGAACTGAGTTCTCAAGAGTTCAACAAGAGAGATTAACCAGAATCTGGGTATCTGAGGGATGCTTGGGCAGCTATTTTTTTCTTTTTCTACTCTGGCTGATGAGAAGCATGGACAGCTCAACAAAACATCAACTGTCCCCAGGTGTTTGCTGCTGGTTTCCTCAGTACCTAAGTCCAATCGTCTTCTCCAAGTAGTAGCAGCAAGTAGACTGGTAAAATCACTACTGAATGAAGAATAGGACTGTTATCTCTACTGCTTTTTTCTTGCCATTAGTGGACAACTTGGGGAACTCCACTTGGCAGGTAGACCTTTTCACAGTACATGTGCTCTGGCAATTACTTGATCACAAGGATCCCTGATATGATATTTTGCCTTTTACTTTATCACATGGTAGAACAGTGAGATATATAATCAAAGGGAATGTCCAAGACTACTTGTTTGATGATGAATGTATTTCCAGAATCCACCTAAAAAATAACATACTTAAAATTATTGAAACAACAGAAAAATAAGCACTCAATATGAAATTTATTTAAATTATATTGACTGTTCCAGTGTATCCAGAACAGGTAATTTTATTTTGAACATTTGCTTTTGTGAAACAGATCTTTCTGCACTTAAGATCTTGTTTCTAAAAAGTTATTACATGCCAGAATTATCAATAGGCTACCGGTTTAAACACAAACTTGCATCTCTAGAAGAAATAAGTATGACTCCTTATATAAATAAATTAGGCTTCCTCCAAAGGCACTTTATCAGGCAGAGTGAGATGGCTTACCATTTGTACGTATGTGTGTATCAACTGAAAGATATCTAGTTAATTAGAAGGTAATGTCAATGGAAAATTTTTGAAAGTCTGACAACATTGTACCAACTTCTTAACAGAAATGGGAAATCCGATACTAACATTTTCATCAGAGACATAGACACAATATTCATGAACTCTACAAGCCCAGAATGTTAGATATATCGAACTAAGATAAGGACAAAAATGGCTATTTCAGAACAATGGCAAACTTAAGTAAAAAGTTTATGTGATTTAGATTTGGTTCTAATGAAGAATTAGGCTTTTTTTTCTTTGAGATGGAACAACTTTAAGTTGTTCCATCTCAAAGAAATTTTAACATTGTCATGTGATCAGACTAGTATAAAATGTACAAAAATACTCTGGAAACATGTAAAACATTTAACTTGAAAGAATCTTCCTAACATTTCAAGACAGTGGAATGGGCCAATGAACAGTTTTACGGTCTTGTTTACATGGTTGCCAGAAGAATTTTAAAGCTTTGCAAAAATCTTTTGTCAGGATGCAGTTTATTATAAGGAATTCTACTGCTTCCAAATGAACAGCTTGATTCACATGTAAGTAAAATCAGCTGTATTTAAATTTACACTTATTTTAATCCCATGAATAACAATCCTCTTAAGCCATCTTGAATGCACACAGTATTGCTTTGCAAAAGAGCCACATCAACTTAAAACTCAGCCTTCAAAAGCAAACGTGCGAAGACACAGTATTCACTTTCTTGTATCTTTCTAAAAAAACATGTTAATTTTAAATCATACTTTCTTTAATGAATATACACATTTTTCATGGCTATAGAAATTTGTTCAGAGTTCACTGTATCACTGACATAAAGGTGCAGAGAAAGGCTACTTATTCAAGTTGAAGAAACCTGAGACCTTGAGGTACTGTTGGAAAGAATTTCCATTATCCCTAATCAACACAGCCAAACATGAGGGAAAATGGGATCTGTAATCCACATGTACATAGTTCCTGCCTTATACTTCACATACAAAGTGAGATCATAAACAACATCGGTTCACCCAACAAAATATAAAACCAAGATGTGCAATAAAACGGCTAAACCACGAGGAAGCAGCATTCTTCTGAGTTCAGCTATGTGAGATCTGAAATCTCAGAGGCAATTGTCTAAATGTTCATTAATTTTTGTTTCCAAAACCTCAGATTGGCAGACAGGGCAGCAAACCTTTTTCTTTTGATCACTGACAGAAGGTGTTACACTTTTTATGTCTGCTGGTTCGGCCTCACTTTTCACCAAAGGCTTTTTCTTTATAAAATAGTTTTCAAAGGCAGTTGTGTCTTCCATTCTTGCCCTTTTTGATGCTCCACCATTTTGTGGGCTGTCATTTCTATGGGATGTAATGTAGGATTTAGGTGTTGAAGTAGCTGGTTGAAAAATACTTTTTTCTGGTGTCTCCTTTGACAGTAGCTCTGATGTATCATTTGTAAAGCTTGAATTAGATCTTCTTTCAGTTAACTGGATATTTTTAATTGGGGATCCATTAACATTCCTGTAAACTTTTTTGTTAGCAACTGAAACTTTAGGAAGCACGTGTCTAGAAGCAAAATTATTTTTGTCTCCAATGGAAGAAAATGAAGGGGAAACATTGGTAAAGGAAAAGTTATCTTCGTTTTTAGGATTTAGTCTAGACAAATCAGATGGTGAATGATACCGTGACCTCTTGTTGTTGCTGGGACTTGTGGCTTTCTCTGATGATGTCATATCAGTTTTCCCTCCAAGGACATATCCTTTTCCACTAAAAGGAATTATGCTTTGTGTGTTCATTCCATTAGTTGTTCCTGTAAAAACTTAAGAAAAAAATACTTTTATAATGCTGCAATCTGTTAAGAAGAGTTAATTATGTATCCATGTTATCCCATGAATAATTTCATAAACTTAATTTTAAAAATGCAGTTGTTAACTATGACAAACAATATTGAAAATGCTATGTGTGAACTGACATTTATGCTAGCTAGGTTCACATAGTTAGGTTCAACATCACATATCCCTTCAATGCATGACAGTATTCACAAACAACTGTGACAAGTAGTTAAAGACAAACAGCATCTGGAACAGATATATTAAAGTGTGATCTCTTGAAACCTGAGCTATACGGCTTGGGTTATTTGAGAACTGTATCTCTGTGAACCTGTCACACATCTACGATCACCAGGGGAGGGTCTTTTCTCTGTCCCACCATCTGCTCAAGCACATTTGGTGGGAAGAAGGGATAAGGCCTTTTTGGTGGCTGCTCCCAGACTGTGGAACTTCCTCCCAAGAGAGATCAGGATGGCCCTATACCTGCTGCCCTTCCATGGACAGGTCAAGACTATTCTGTGTCAGCAGGCATTGGGAAGAGAATGACAAACACACTGTTGGGGAGGTTGTGTGTGGGATTTGGTGGTGGTGGTGGGGAGGGGGTGAGATCTGAAATGCAATTTTAATTGTATGAGCATTTTATTGTATTTTAACTTGTATCCATGACATAAATATTTAACTGTTTTTAACTGTTTTTTTACTTTTGTATTTGTTAGGTTTTTTAATTGATTGGGTCATGTCATGTTATTGTAAGCTACCTTGAGTCTCCAGGGGCAAAAAAGCAGGGTAAGAATAACGTTAATAATAAATAAATAAATAAATAAATAAATAAATAAATAAATACTGTTTGGAAACTCCCAGTATATTCAGCAGGAGTTTGGATATAATCAATGGGAATATGCAGAGTTGGACTGCAGTTCAACTGGCGGATTCATCAGCCACATAATAAATATTTTTGATGGTGAGAATTTCATTCATGTTATGACACCATTTTAAAATATGCCACTAACCTCATTTGATTTCTGAATTTTAAAAAATGTATGGCACTGCAGTAATGACACTACAGAAGAATGCTTTCAATTAATAAATCAGGCAGATCCACAAATGACATGCCAACTTTCTACTGAGGTTGGTGTACCAATTGAGATCATATTAATTTGGTTAGGATAACAGAAAAGCAGAACTCCAGACATTCTGGTTTGGATCTTTAGAACTGTATGGGAAAGAAAGTATAAACAAGAAGGCTTTCCCATCGGTATATTCCTCCTAGCACTATACCCTGCCCAAACAGCCCCTAAAACACAGGAAAGGATTTTCTTTGTATAAATTTTGTAAGATCCACTTTAAAAAGATCAGTCAAATCAACAACATTATCAATCAAGATATTTGCTTTTAGATATAATTATCTATATTTGGAATATATGTGTGAATATGTGTACAAATGTGCACATGTATAACATTTGTCAGTATTATTGGAATAATGGTTAATGCTGAGAAAAAAAAACCTTTAACAATTAATATTATTATTATTACTATCATCATATTTATTTATATACTGCCTTTCTTCCCATGAGGACTCAAGGCGGCTAACATCTGTCCACACTAAACAGCTTAAAAAGAGCTATACAAAAGTTAAAAAAACAATTAAAGAATAACAGCGTGGCACAGCTTTGTAGTATAGTATCTAATGTGAACACTTGCTGCCTGAACCATGAAACTTCCCTTTCTTTCCCACATGCATCCCTATTTGAATATAATATTCAAACTTTATTGACTTGTTTCACAGAGTCTGGTAATTTAGTTCAAATGCTCATAGCGCAGAGCCTATTTGGATACTAAGAATTTCTGTTTAGTTAATACAATCAAATAAGCATACTACATTGAGTCACACTATTTTGAGAACTCAGAAAGTATTCAATTCAGATTTTCCAGGGAAAAAATCATTGATAAAGATAGAAAAGAAGACTCAAATACCTTTGCCTTTGGCTGGGACTTCTGCTTGACTGACTGACAGACTGTTCTTTTCTTTGTCTTTCTTTGAGTAGTTCTCTGGCTCCTTGATTTTTATAAATGTACCTCCACAAGTCTGTTGATGCTCAGACCACCAGTAGTCATTTGCAGATGGTGCTCTGTTCATTGCACGCTTCACATAGCCAAAATATGGCGTTCTTTTTTGACAAGGGCCATTGCAGCGCCACCAGTGCTGGCGATAGAAATCCACCTCATTGTGAAAATTATGATAGACCTAAGATTAACCCAAATAAAGAAAAAGGCATCTGCTGTAGAATTTTGCAAAATTATGTGTTAACAAAATAGTTCATACTGACTCATGACCCTTAACACTGTTAATGTGCTAGCATAACAATTGGATCATGCATATACAGTTATCATGGGGAAATTATGTGCTGTTGTGATCATGTCCTGTTGTCATCTTACCATGGGCAATGACTTGAACACTATGTGAACACAACCCTGGATTAGACAAGTCTCAGGCCTGATTCAATATGGTTGTTTTTGCACTCTGGGCACCATAGTTACACAGGAAGACAAGGCTCTATCAAATTAATGGTTCCTTGAGATAATTAGTCCAAAATATAGATCCTTTGTGTATTCATTCTGGTCATGATACTTAAAAGTTGCAATCTAATAGTAAGCTTCATACAGTTAAATGACAATGGTGCAGATATAAACAGTGTACTATTGTTCTGTGCCTTCAAGTCACTTCAGAATTAGGATGATCCTAAATCTAAAGTTTAGGGCGGGGTTCGGGTAAATTACATTGGAGAGCTCCATCCATCCTGCGGACTTTAGTTTGGGAACTAGTCTGTTGTACTTCAAGCATTGAGAAGCCTACAAATTACAGTGCCTTACAAATAATGTTTACCGTAATATTGGTGCCAGTTAAGCGATTTATCCGATCCATGTGTTTGCAGAACTCCGGGCCATGGGAATCGTGATCTTTGTCATTATAAGTGACAAACAACAGAGCATGAATCATTTCATGTAAAAGAGTCTGAAATTTAAAAAAATCATTGGATTACTTGAAGTGTTTATTTCTTAAGCAATAAGAAATAGTTATCTACAATTGGCTTAAAACAGAGATGGGCAGCACCAGTTTTGTTTGACCTGACACACAAGTCCATAAATGAGGTGGGCAAGAGTGAACACATGTCTGACTGTGACAACTGTGTGATCTAGTACAGTTGGGTGAGGGATACTTCCTCTCTTTAGACTTTTTCTCGGCACTGGGTTGTATTACTTTAAAGGGCCTCTTAATTTTTGCCAGATCAGAAATGTTATTCTATGATTTTCCTGAAGCTAAAATGTGAGGGAAATTTTATTTATTTATGGCATTTATATGCCGCCCTTCTCACCCTGAAGGGGATTGAGCGGCTTACAAGATATATATACATACAATATATTATATTATTAGTATAGTACAATATCAGTATTATATATTATTATATTGCACTATACCATTATATTGTAATATTATTAGTAATATTACATGTAATATAAAATATATAATTATAATATTATATTATTGGTAGTATTATATTGTATTACATTATAATATTATAAATATTATATGTATATACAATATATTATATTATTAGCATAGCACAGGAGACAAGGTAAAACTGTCTTCTGCCCCCCCCCCGCCCCTCTTATTAATATTTTTGTTGTTTTTGAATACAGCAAATTACATCGAAACAAAAAAATATTTTCCTCCTTGAGCATTTCATTTTGTAATGCTTCTCCTTCTGTAAGTTTCAAAGGTAGAAGATATGAGAAGCATATTTCTTTGAAATCAAAGTTATTCAATATGCTACATGTATCACACCCACCTTACTTTTTGACAGCTGCTCAAATCACTGGATCCTATAATTTTAGAGCAATGGTTCCCAACTTTTAGTCTGACAGGCGCTTCAGACTTCAGTTCTCATAATTCCAAACAGCTGGTAAGCTGGCTAGGATTTCTGGAAGTTGAAGTCCAAAACACCTGGAGGACCAAAGGCTGGGAATCAATGTTTTAAAGGATCAAAAATCACTTACAAAATACAGAGTACTACCTTAAGTACAGCTGTGCCTCTAAACATCAAAGAACACCAAAAACATTAAAAGCAAAACACTTTTCAGTCACAAATGCAGTCACGTTATCTAGCAGAGGGAAGGCAAATTTCATAGAATCATAGGGTTGGAAAAGACCACATGGGCCATCTAGTCCAATCCCCCGCCATGCAGGAAAAGCACTATCAAAACTCCCCCGACAGATGGCCATCCAGTCTCAGTTTAAAAACCTCCGAAGAAGGAGCTTCCATCACTCTGAGGCAGAGAGTTCCACTGTTGAATGGGTCTTACAGTCAGGAAGTTCTTCCTAAAGTTCAGATGGAATCTCCTTTCCTGTAATTTGAACCCACTGCTCTGAGTCTTAGTCTTCAGGGCAGGAGAAAAAAGTCTGCTACTTCTTCCTTATGGCATCCTTTCTAGTATTAAGCATGACTATCAAGTCTCTTCTCAACCTTCTCTTCTGCATAATAAAAATCACCAGCTCTTTAAGCTGCTCCTTTGATCATTTAAATTGCCCTCCTCTGGAAAAATTCCAGCTTGTCAATATCTCCCTAGGTATTCTAGGTAAAGTCTGACCAAAGCAGAATAGAGGAAGTACCATTACTTCCCTTGATCTAGACCAGCGGTTCTTAAAGTGTGCTCCGTGCTTCCCTAAACAGCAAAGGGTGGTGGTCAGTGGGCTTGAAGAGTCTCATCAGCCAGCCAGTTACATAATTGATTTTTGCCCTAGGGAGACAGCATACTTCTTGAGACATCCTTTCACGTTTGCAAATCATCAGTTTTGTTCCCCTCAGGAGGTCATCCCCTGTTACCAGTACATGTCTCCTGTGATGACTAACAGGGTCACTTTCCTGTAAGATGCTCTGCAGGTCTCCTGAGACCAAGGGCCTTTCCACACAGCCATATAACCCAGAATATCAAGGCAGAAAATCCACAATATCTGCTTTGAAGCTTCTGAGCAGTCTTCAAAGGCAACCCCACATAGAGTGTATTGCAGTAGTCTATTTGGAATGTAATAAGAGCATGGACCATCATGGCCAAGTCTGATTTCCCAAAGTATGGGCGCAACTGGCGCACAAGTTTTAATTGTGCAAAAGCTCCCCTGGCTGAGACCTGGGTTCCAGGCTCAGTGATTAGTCTAGTATCACTCCCTAGCTGCGAACATGTGTCTTCAGGGGGTGTGTAACCTTGTCCAGCACAGGCTGTAACCCTAAGCCCTGTTTGGTCTAATGACTGACCAAGAGGACCTCTGCCTTGTCTGGATTCAGTTTCAATTTGTTTGATGTCATCCAGCTGCCAAGCACTGGTTCAGGACCTGAACAACCTTCTTAGTAACTGGTGGGAAGGAGTGATAGAGCTGAACATCATCTCCATACAGATAACATCTGACCCCAAAACTCCGGATGATCTCTCCCAGTGGCTTCATGTAAATGTTAAACAACATAGGGAGCAATATTGATCCCCGGGGGACCCCACAAGTCAATGGTTGTGAAGTCAAGCAGTTGTCCCCCAGCAACACCTTTTGGTAACGACCCTCAAGGAACAAAGAAAAATGATCTGTTTGTGCTTATGTTGAGGCCGAACAAACTCATATCAAATAGGACATCAAACATAAATGCTCATGTGAAGAGCTAGATAACTATTTACATTCAAGGCCTTCTGGACACATTTGAACCTATGAATGTACAGGCATGCTAGCTACAATAAATTTACTACAGTTTGTTCAATGTTTCTCTACAAAGACTACCATCAACAGTACCTCTACAAGATCCTTTCTCGGTCGCAGCTTTAGAAGGGGCTCACTAAGTCGAATGGAGCACATTCCACCACGACCTTCATAGCAGCAAACTCCTGCACATCTAGAAGATAATAAATCACAAACAACAAACATTTGTTTTCAACTACAACTTGGCTGTTCTGTATTCATAATGCATTAGGGTTCTTACCTTGTTTGAAATAGAAGGCTGGATGATTGTTCTCCTTGGGGGTAAATAATCAGGACTTTTCTCTTTTACAGTAATTTATGTTAGAAAATTTAAGATTGTGATTAGTACCTATTTTTTTCAACACGTTTATTGATCAACAAATGAACTGTCACATCTTCATGACTTCTAATGATATCACATACCTACTTTGAGTCCCCCTAGGGGTGAGAAAAGTGGTATATAAATGCTGTAAATAATAATAATACTTAATAGTTATACTGTGTATCCAATTTTATTTATTTATTTATGATAATTTCTACCCCATCTTTCTCAAACCCAAAGGTGACTCAAGGCGGCTTTACAACATAGGTAGCTATGCCATTAAAACAATGAAAAAATTACAATAAACATTTAAAACAGAATTATAAAATACATACACTGAAACCTTTAAAAACATATAAAACCACTACCTTCACTGTTAGCCTCGTCATCCAAAAAGATTGTCTAAGTCGTTCCAGTATTCGATTTCACATAGTTCTGTGTTTATCTATTGCACTAGGTTCCCAAAGGGCTTGTTCAAAAAGCCATGTTTTCACTTTTCTGCGGAAGGTCAGAAGGGAAGGGGCTGATCTCATATCCCTGGGGACGGAGTTCCACAGCCAAGGAGCCACCACTGAGGAGGCCCTGTCTCTCCAGATGAACATAAACTCCTAGATCAAGCATGGGCAACCTTTCTAACTTGGGGGTCGCATGGCGAGCTGGAGCGGGGTGGGAGGGCCGGGAAGGAGGGGGTTCTCCCCAATTCCCCTCCTTGCCCTTTCCTCCCCTCCTTCTTCTCTTTGGAAGCAGAAAGTGAAGGAAAGACGGGAAATGTTTGGATCCCAAAGGGGTTGGTCTTGAGCAGGATGAGATGGTGGATGGCAGAGAAAAAGTGTATCCATGAGACCTCGTATTGGCTACTCCTGATATAGAATCCTAGAGCTGGAAGAGACCTGCAGGGGCCATCCAGTTAACCCCATGCCATGCAAGAAGCCATAACCAAAGCACTCCCAATTGACAGCCTCTGCAGAAAAGCCTCCAGAGGAGACTCCACCACACTCCCAGGCAGCCTATGCCACTCCCCAACAGCCCTTACTCTTAATCTTTTCAGTTGAATCTCTTTCCCTGTCATTTGAACCCATTGCTTCCTTGTGCCATGGTCTTTAGAGCAGCAGAAACTCAGCTTTCCCTCCTCCTCCTTAATGGGACACCCTTTTAAATCTTGAAACATGATTCTCATGCTCCCTCTCAACCGTGTCTTCTCCCAGCTAAACATCCCCCAGGAGGAAAGGAGGAAGAAAAAAGGAGACATGAGAGGAGACATGATACCCATGTATAAATATGTGAGAGGAAGTCATAGAGAGGAGGGAGCAAACTTGTTTTCTGCTGCCCTGGAGACTAGGACGCAGAATAATGGCTTCAAACTACAAGGAAGGAGATTCCATCTGAATATTAGGAAGAACTTCCTAATGTGAGAACTGTTCAGCAGTGGAACTCTCTGCCCTGGAGTGTGGTAGAGGCCCTTCTTTGAAAGCTTTTAAACAGAGGCTGGATGGCCATCTGTTGGGGGTGCTTTGAATGCAATTTTCCTGCTTCTTGGCAGTGGGTTGGCAGGTCTCTTCCAACTCTATGATTCTAAGAAAGGGGCAGTCCAAGATCAGAAGAGCCATAGTGGCCGGTGAATATCTAGTAGGTTTTCAAGGGGAAGCTGTAGCCAAACATTAGTGTGAAAATTGATACAATCTAATAACTATTGTTAGAGCAATGTCAGGTTCAGACATTGGGGAGTAAAAGGTAGGCATGATATAAGATGGATCCATAAATTAATACTAAAAAGTAACTTTAAGAAGGTAGGCTCCATGTAAAACTTATTCCAGCAACAGAAATCACCTAGGATATTAAACAGCCTGGTTTCCAGGCCTATCTGAATTCGGCTACTCACTCCTGAGGTCTTTTATTCACAAAGGTCTCCTTACTTCTGAGATTCCCCTGCTCCCAAGAAAGATGGCTTATCTAGGGCTTAAGATGCATGCATCACTGACAGTAATTGCCAATGGCTGCATGTTCTTACTTGGGCATTTCCTGGATGTAGCTAGATCATTCCTTCCATAAAGGAAGGAATGAACTATGGGGGCTCTTCCATAAAACTCCGAGATCGTCTGCTGTGGACAGACCCAGTGGACCTTCGGTAAAGATGTTGGGATATTTGCAGATGTGCTGGAGTTAGGAATCCCTATAGATTGTATTGTCGAAGGCTTTCATGGCCAAAATCACTGGGTTGTTGTAGGTTTTTTCGGGCTATATGGCCATGTTCTAGAGGCATTTCTCCTGACGTTTTGCCTGCATCTATGGCAAGCATCCTCAGAGGTAGTGAGGTCTGTTGGAACTAGGAAAAAGGGTTTATATATCTGTGGAATGAAAAAACTCTAAAATTAGAATAGCACAACAACAGAGGGGAACAAACAAGGACATCTAATCGCCTCTCAACAAAAGATTGCTCCAGGCACTGCCAGGCAATCAAATGCTAATCAAGGTGGTCAGCTGAAACATTCACACCTAGCTCCAGGAGACAAGAGTCCTTTGTCTCACCCTAGTCATTCCACAGATATATAAACCCTTTTTCCTAGTTCCAACAGACCTCACTACCTCTGAGGATGCTTGCCATAGATGCAGGCGAAACGTCAGGAGAAATGCCTCTAGAACATATAGCCCGAAAAAACCTACAACATCCCTATAGATTATTTTGACATTCTCATATTATAGAATCATAAGAGTTGGAAGAGACTGCATGGGCCATCTACTTCAGAATTAACACGAATGGATCTTGAAAGGGGTTTTTGTTTGTGAGTATCTACAGCTATAACTACAGTAAACCTCCAGCTAGTATGAGAATTCTGGGATTGTGGTTTAATGTACGCAGATGATGTCCAACTCTGTCACTCCTTTTCACCTGCTACTAAGGAGGCTGTCGAGGTCCTGAACTGGTGCTTGGCCGCTGTGACGGTCTGGATGGGGGCGAACAAATTGAAATTGAATCCAGACAAGACAGAGGTACTCCTGGTTAGTCGTAAGGCCGAACAGGGTATAGGTTTACAGCCTGTGTTAGACGGGGTCGCACTCCCCCTGAAGACACAGGTTCGCAGTTTGGGGGTGATCTTGGATTCATCGCTGAGCCTGGAACCCCAGGTTTCGGCGGTGACCAGGGGAGCCTTCGCACAGTTAAAACTTGTGCGCCAACTGCGACCGTACCTTGGGAAGTCTGACTTAGCCATGGTAGTCCACGCTCTGGTTACATCCCGCCTTGATTACTGCAACGCTCTCTACGTGGGGTTGCCTTTGAAGACAGGCCGGAAGCTCCAATTGGTCCAATGTGCGGCAGCCATGATTCTAACAGGAGCGGGCCGCAGGGAGCATACAACCCCCCTGCTGTACCAGCTCCACTGGCTGCCGATCTGCTACCGGGCTCAATTCAAGGTGCTGGCATTGGCCTATAAAGCCCTAAACGGTTCTGGCCCAAGATACCTACATATCTCAGCCTATCAGCCCACCAGGACCCTAAGATCTTCCGGAGAGTCCCTTCTCTCTATCCCTCCAGCTTCAGAAGTGCGGCTGGCGGGAACGAGAGATAGGGCCTTCTCTGTGGTGGCCCCCCGGCTTTGGAACACCCTCCCTATAGAGGTACGATCAGCCTCTTCGCTGATGGTGTTTAGGAAGAGACTAAAAACATGGCTGTTCAAACTAGCATTCGGCTAATCTGTGGCAATCGATTCTTGGTGACTATGGACAGAAAATATGGACAACGATCTCTGGACTGTGATTTCAACTCGAGACATATGGGATTATTATTGGTGGCCCAATAATTTGTTATTGTATGTGTATATGTTTTTAAATTGGAGATTGTTTTTAATTGCTGTAAACCGCAATGAGTCGCCGATTTAGGCTGAGATATTAGCAGTATACAAGTGTATCAAATAAATAAATAAATAAATAATCTGAAAAGGAACATTTTAGTCCAGACATGACAGCCAAGGGTAGTTCTGACTACTGAACTATGCCTTGGGGAGATGGTTGGACTGGATGGCCCACGAGGTCTCTTCCAACTCTATGATTCTATTGAAAGTTTGCCCACGCCTGGGCTAAGCCAACCCCTTAAAAGAGGTAAGGACACAGCCATAAATCCGAAAAAGAAAATGTGTGGGGCACAACGTGTCCCCTGAAACCGTACAGCGTCATGCGGGGGCTCCACTTCACCTCCACGGCCTCCAGGGCCCCCCAGAAGAGGCTCTGGTTGAACTGCAGGAAGAGGCCTCGCACGTCCGGGCTGGGATCCAGCAGCTCCCAGCTCTCGTCCACCAGCGACAGGGGCCGTGCGGGCGAGGGGGAGGCCGGGCCGGCCTTGAGGGAAGCCCGTGCGCGGCCGCCCTCCTCCGCGTTCCACTCCTCTTGGAGCCGCAGCGCCAGCAAGAAGTCGCCGTCCATTGGAGCGCGGCCTTTCGTTGAGCCCACCGCCTTCAAATCACGGCGCATGCGCCGTAACGCCGAGGGTTTGTTGTCTTCCTGCCTCGGAGAGAGTCGCGCGCCTCGCGTCACTGCGGCGCGGCGCCTTGACGTTTTTTTACGCACCGGCGCACGTAAGCGGCCTTCCGGTCAGAGGCGGCCCCTGCTTCCGGCGCAGCGACGCCTTACTTCCTCTTCCTCTCCCTCCTCGGCGAAGGCTGGTCTCTGGCGGCTCCGGCTCGGCCATGGCGCTGTCTCTGGGTGAGGTGGCTCCGGGCGGTGGCGGAGGAGGAGCGGGAGGGAGCCGCTTGAGGCGGCAGCTGGAGTCCGGGAGCTACGCGGCCGAGGAGTACGTGAAGCAGCTCTCGCAGCAGTCGGACGGCGACCGGGACTTGCAGGAGCACCGCCAGCGCATCCAGGCCCTGAGCGAGGAGACAGCGCAGAGCCTGAAGCGCAACGTCTACCAGAACTACCGGCAGTTCATCGAGACGGCGCGCGAGATCAGCTACCTGGAGAGCGAGATGTACCAGCTCAGCCACATCCTCACCGAGCAGAAGGGCATCCTGGAGGCCGTCACCCAGGCGCTGCTGCTCCTCCAGGCCGACCGCGACGACAGAGCCGCCGGGGCCGCCTCCTCTGACCCGCACGCCAACCCCTTCCTGCCCCTCTCCGCCAAGGAGGCGGCAGCCAGCGAGGAGGGCCGCCAGCGCACCCTGACCACCCTCCTGGAGAAGGTGGAGGGCTGCCGAGACCTGCTTCCGGAGAGCCCCGGCAAGTACCTGGTATACAACGGGGATCTGGTGGAGTACGACGCCGACCACATGGTCCAGATTCAGAAGGTGCACGCCTTCCTGATGAACGACTGCCTGCTGGTGGCGGCCTGGCTGCCCAACCGCCGGGGCACCTACCGCTACGACGCCCTCTACCCGCTGGACGGCCTGGCCGTCGTCAATGTCAAGGATAACCCGCCCATGAAGGACATGTTCAAGCTGCTCATGTTCCCCGAGAGCCGCATCTTCCAGGCCGAGAATGCCAAGATCAAGAAAGAGTGGCTGGAGGTGCTGGAGGAGACCAAGAGGAGCCGCGTGCTGAGCGAGAAGCGGAGGCTGGAACAGGAGGTGCCGGCGGCCCGTGCGCCTCCCCCAGCCCCTCCAGAGGCTACCAACCCCTTCGATGAGGATGAGGAGGAAAGTGGGGAGGGGGGGACCCCGGAAGAAGAAGTGGTGGATCTCTCCCTGGAGTGGATTCAGGAGTTGCCTGAAGACTTAGATGTCTGCATCGCTCAGAGAGACTTCGAAGGGGCGGTTGACTTGCTGGATAAGCTGAATGAGTATCTAGGGGATAAGCCCTTGACCCAACCAGTCAGGGAGTTACGAGCCAAAGTGGATGAGAGAATCAGGCAGCTCACTGACGTGCTTGTGTTTGAGCTTTCTCCAGATAGGTCACTTCGAGGTGGGCCCAGAGCAACCCGTCGCGCTGTTTCTCAGCTCATCCGGTTGGGCCAGTCAACCAAGGCGTGCGAACTTTTCCTACGGAACAGGGAAGCGGCCGTTCACACAGCCATCCGACAGTTGCGCATTGAAGGTGCCACTCTGCTGTACATTCACAAGCTGTGCCATGTCTTCTTCACCAGCCTGCTAGAGACCGCAAAGGAGTTTGAGACGGACTTTGCTGGCAACAGTGGGTGCTATTCCGCTTTTGTTGTCTGGGCTCGATCAGCAATGAGGATGTTTGTGGATGCGTTTAGCAAGCAGGTGTTTGACAGTAAGGAGAGCTTATCTACTGCTGCTGAGTGTGTAAAGGTAAGGGCTCAAAGTGATGAGATGGAAAAAAACTGTGTTACCCTTAATTACATATCCTCTAGATCACAGCTTCATAAAACTTTGGGTCCCAACCTCAAGCGGGGTTCCCTTTGCTCAATGTTGGAGTCCAGAAACATTTGTCAGCAGTAAACGTTTTCTGAATGTCAGCTAGTGGGTGTTTTGACATTTGCACAAATCTGTTGTGCAGTGTTCACAGTAATTCTACAGAAGATGCTCCAGGTATAGTTCATAAAAAGGAAAATCAGCCTGTTTAGCAAGCCTCACAAGTGCTGATTTCTTCTCACATCTATTGATGCCTATTCTATATATTTGTGTACCCACAAAAAATTCTTAGGTCAAAAGGCATCATGAGTGGAAACGTTTTCCAAATAGTGTCCTTGAATTTAGAAGCAACATGGAAGCAAAGTATTGAGTCATCTAGCCCAGCTTCCTGAGACAGGATATTATTTGTGTAGGCAGTTATTTATGATGGCCGTGGCTTTGTGTGGTTCACTCATCCCAGTGCTCAGCATTACTCCAGTCATTTTTCCTGTTTTGCTTTCTTATGTTTTCTAAAGATCTATTGCTGTTTTTCACAGCAGGATAATACCTGTTTTTCTTGCCTTCCTAACACTAAAGAACCCCGCCCTTTTATCATTTAGTAGATGAGAGAGGACCAGTTATGTACAAACTCCCTCTGTAGCTTGGCTTTATCCCAAATGGTTTGTTCACATACAGAAGTGAGGGTGTGGCTTGCCTGCCGAAGAAAGGCAGTATGTACTGAAAAACGTAGCAGAGAATATAGGGGCTAAACTTGCAAGTGGTTGCAATAGTCAGGACAACCTAGCACTTTGAGCACTTAGTTTAAATCGCATCTGGAAAATATTGGATGGGTAGAATTATATCCCAACACCACTCCTTTCTCTTCAATTCTTAGCACTGTAGAGTGCGATACAGATTGTCTTTTTCTTATGGCTGGAATGGTGGCAGAAATGGAAATAAATGCAGAGTCATGTACTGCTTTCATGGCAGGTTTCTATTTACAAACTAATGTTAAAGATTTATGGACCTGACATGGCTCAAATTAATGTTGACTGTGCTATTTTGAAATTGATGCAGAAAGCATGTTGAAATTGACATGAGACCTATCACTTTAGGTAAATTTAGTCACAATTATTTTGTTCTATTCTTGTTAAGGGAATTAGGCACAATTCAAGTTTGTTGAAGACCGGCATAGTTCTCTAAGGTGGGGGTTAATCTCTCCTTGAATCTCTATTTTGAGAGAAAGCAGAATAAAAATGAAGCAGAATAAAGAAGAATAAAATAAATAAAATTTTGGTTTAAACCGAGAGAGAAGCTACATATGTTGGCTTCCTTCTAGTGAAATGAAATTCTCCATTTGGGTATTTCCTAGGAGTAATTACTACATATTCTAAGAATATGTCATGAAATCCAAGACCCAAATAAACTATTCTTAAAGGATAACTATCAAATGGTCTTTTAAAAAGCTCTGAGAAGTATATATCATAATATTTTAATGAACCAGAGAGGGAGAGCATTTCTTTATTCAGTCAGGTATTTCCAAAGTTATCAAAGCTATTCAGTAAATCTTACGAAGTACTAACTGAATACACATGTATAAGTCTAAACATTTTATTGAAAAATATACCCAAACAAACTTGGGTCAGGGTAGGTACTGTGCCATAACTCCTATATAAAAAAAGGATCCTTCATCTTCAATGAGTAGGGTGGCAAAAGAGAGAGCTTAGTTTGTACTGCAAGAATTGAAAGGAGAACCTCTTCTGACCTTTTTGCATGCCTTGTTGGGGAAGAAGCTGACCCTCTGAAGCAGTAATGGTCATTTCCTTTCTCCATATAATGACCCTCAACTTATCCAGTGGTCATACCATATCCAGTAGTCATATCAAAATCCATAATCTTGACTCTGAAGTGTGTCCACATAAATATACAGTATATGGTAGTTTCTTTTTAAATATACCTTGATATAATGTGTATTTTCCTGCTGCTTGTAGTAGGAGAATCATATACTTTTAGGGCATTGAGAGATCTGTTGTGCAACTAGTGTGAAGGTGTGGAAAAACTAGCATTGTGCCTTTTTTTTTGTAGGTGGCAAAAGAACACTGCAAGCAACTCAGTGAGATTGGTCTGGACCTGACTTTCATCATTCACACCCTATTAGTGAAAGATATCAAAGGTGCTTTGCAAAGCTACAAAGACATCATCATTGAGGCCACAAAGCACCGCAACTCTGAAGAGATGTGGAGGAAAATGAACCTAATGACACCAGAAGCTTTAGGGAAGCTTCGAGAAGAAATGAGGAGCTGTGGAGTCACCAATTTTGACCAGTACACTGGTGATGATTGCTGGGTGAACCTAAGCTACACAGTTGTGGCTTTCACCAAACAGACCATGGCTTTCTTGGAGGAGGCTCTCAAACTCTACTTCCCAGAGTTGCACATGGTTCTGTTGGAAAGTTTGTTGGAGATCATCTTTGTGGCTGTCCAGCATGTTGATTACAGTTTACGCTGTGAACAAGACCCTGAAAAGAAGACATTCATTAGACAGAATGCCTCTTTCCTTTATGAAACAGTTCTTCCTGTGGTGGAAAAGCGGTTTGAAGAAGGAGTTGGAAAGCCAGCTAAGCAGCTGCATGATCTGAGGAATGCTTCAAGACTAATGCGTGTGAATCCTGAAAGTACTACTTCTGTGGTGTGAACTGCAGTGCCTCAGTCCTTTTCATATTAAACTTTGTAGATACATGTATACACATAACTTTTTTCAAACCCCCTCCCAATAGTAGCCAAATCTGATAATGTTCTCTTTAGCAGATAATGTATTGAAAAGAACTGGGAAAGCAAAGAAAAGGAAAACTTAAAAGAAACAATATAGTTGGAAATCCACATTCCCTCCAAAGGTCTGGTTGTGCCATTTTAGGTCACATGAGATGGTTTGGTCTGGAACCTAACAAGTTAATCAAACATAGTTGTGCTAATTAGAATATGACCAAGAATAACTACTAATGAATATTCATTGGTTGTGTAGGTGTATAAATGATAGGATACACCTTGTAATTTTATTATATGGGGCTTCAGAAGAAGCCTGTTTGGGAAAGAAAATGCATCCTTGCATTATCTCACTCAAAGAACTTGAGGGGGAAATGGTGAAAATTTTACCACATACTGTATTTCAAGAAGGGTTATCTTCCAGTTCCCATGAAAACCAAAACTATGAATCTCGTTGACAGTGTACACCACAGTTCTTGGCAAAAGTAAATATTAATTGCAAAGGGCTAAAGCCAAATATATATCTGATTGGTAGCAGATGATAATTGAATACGAATGTTATGGCTGAGACAGTTATCCAGTGCTTGGATTTTCATGTAGTTTTGCCAGGGTCTTTGCCATCCTGTAACCAAATCTGTTTATTTAATCTTTAAAAATCCTGCATTCTTAATTAGTTTTGTTGGATACCCCAGAGAAAACAGTGCAGTTCTCTGGTACATATGCTTGTGTATATGGTACAAAATTCCCTTATGCCATACATGACACCACTGCTGATAACTGTAAACCATGATCAGGTTGATTATTTGTTCATATAGCCCAGTGATTCCCAACTTTTGGGCCTCCGAGTGTTTTCAACTTCAATTCCCAGAAATCCCAGCCAGCTTACCAACTGTTAGGAACTGTGGGAGCTGAAGTCCAAAACACCTGGAGGACCAAATGTTGGGAACCACTGATATAGCATGTAGGAATGATGGGATGAAAACATCATTGAGATAGTGTTTATTTTTACTTGCTTTCAGTTCAACCTAACACAGGGACACAGGGAGATTTCATGATAAAGAAAAACTATTCATTTGCAATTGATTGCCACAGGGTGAAATAGGTGACTAACCATGTAAACGGAGCAATAAATGTTTAGTTTATTGCAAGTGGAAATAGGGATGAACCCATTTATGAAATGAGGAAGTAAAAGTGTATAAGGATGTTTTCACCATAGCAGTCTTGCCTATAGGTCTGTATGCAGTGGTGTTCTGTATAAAGCGGGTAAGTGGTGGGGTTTTTCTTTTCTGTGTGATTCTGTCCAAGTCTAATGGTACAGCATCCCTCAGGACAATGCTGTTCAGATGTTTTTAGTATATTGCTCTCATCACTTCTGAGTCAGTTGGAAGATAACAATAGTCGGAACGTAATTTATCTGGACGGCAGAAAGTTGGGAAAAGCTTATCTCTTTATGGTGATCTGTATTCAACCAGGCTTAATGGCACAATGGTATATATGTTCCAATTGGCCAGTCGTGAATAAAGTGTGAAATGCGGTGTCTGGGTAACATGGTGAAACTGTTAAGGCTGCAATTCACTATTGTTCCCTTTAGATCTACACAGTGGGGATATTGTGCCTTTGGTGGGAAGAATGTACCATTATTGAAACTATTAGAAAGAAAGTTTCCCTAGAGAGAAGAGATGACCATAAAGGTTTGAATCTAAGAGTTGCTTGGTTTAATGCATAATATGAGGTAATTCACTGACTAGTCTTGTATTGCTGATAGCAGCTGGGTGACAAAAATACTTATCCAAGTATGGTTCAGGCATGCCGACATTTCTTAGGCTTTTGTTTAAAAAATGATGGTATATAACATGTAGACAATATTCACTGTGGAATGCCACGGTGGCACATGGGCACTTACACCAAAGAAGATGAGATAAAAATGTATCAGGAAAAAGTGATACAGAAGTCGTTTTTCTGTCTCTACAAATTGTGTTTTCTTAATACAGTACAGTTCATATTGTAATTTTAGGAGATCCAAGAAACGTCCCCTTCAGTACACATGTTGTAATTTTGCGGATCCAAGAAACTGCCATTTCATTAACAGATAAGGCTGTCATCTGATGACCAATACATATCTAACGATGATTCTGATTATCTTTGTTTTTTTGAGCAGTTATGAATAATCTTGATATTTAATAATTTATTGTTATGTTTATGCCACACCCAAAGTATATGGAGATCAAATTCTTTATGAAAGAGACCAGTGATATATACTTCAACTTGCCCGTCGGCCTGCAATTGTATGTTAACACAAATAATTGGATTGAAATAAATATGCCCTGAGAATCTTTTGAAATAGTTTTCTTGTGCCTATTTGAAACACAGTATCTTGTGTAAAAAGAAAAGCATAAGCCTCAAAAGTTTTTAAAAATTAAAACTGTAACCATCATCTTTTTATTCCCTGTCCTTTTCCCTAAAATCGGGACTGAATGTGACATCAATTAAATTTTTGCCACAAGAGTCTTGCAGCATGAATCCCTAAGGGTCACTGTGACACTCAACAAAATTACTGAAATTGATAGTGGGGAGGAGCATAGCTCAGGTTTTCAAAGTAGTGCTTTGTACGGGTTCGGTCATTGCTGTAATCGTCCAAAGTACAGAAATATGTGTGTGCATTCAGTTGTTCTGTATGAACTTTCACAGTAGTTTGATGCAATATTTGATAAGGCACAGAATAATCTAAGACTGCATTAATTTCAAGTTAAATTTCCTGTAGTAATGGTGAAAAACTAGCAAAGCCCTCTACTAGTGGCTTTTTAGATGCTCTATCCCATATTTGCTTACTGAAGCTGATAGGAAGGAGAGACCAGCAACTTAGATGCTACTGTCTTTCAATATAATAAAACAATGCTGACGTTCTGTAGGTTGGGAATGACTCCTTCCTTCATGGAGATTGTGCACGCAGGAATACATGGAGAAGGGAAACAAGGATAAGAGGTATGGAGAACTAAGCATGAGAAGTTGAAGGAGCTGGACACATTCTGCTCGATATAGAAAGAATTGAGGGAGGGCATGATTAATACTTCAAGAGCTGCCACAGAGGGGAGCAGCCAGGCCTGTTCTCTGTTGCCTTAGTGGGAAGGCTATGCTTAATGGTTCCAAGTTACAGGTACAAATTGGCTAGAGAGATGCTTGAGTCTTCTTCGAATGCCTTCGAAACTAGGCAGCCCCCTGTTTGAGATTATTTAGAGAGCCTGCACTGAGCAGAGGGTTGGACTCCGTGGTCTACAAGGTTCCTCTATGACAGTGGTTCTCAACCTGTGGGTCCCCAGATGTTTTGGTCCTCAATTCTCAGAAATCCTAACAGCTGGTAAAATGTCTGCGATTTATGGGAGTTGTAGGCCAAAACACCTGGGGACCCATAGGTTGAGAACCACTGCTCTATGATTTTGTCACTCTCATGGTTTATAAGCTTTCACTGAGGAACTAAATTAAACATAAGTTGTTTTTCACTGCCTATACTAAGCCTCTAAGCCCAAAAGTTCTGGCACCAACGGCTGCTCTGGCCAGAGAGAAGACAGAGGGGAGCAGAAGACACTGCCATCTTGTCTTCTGCCTATATCATCACTTGAGAGGCCCCTCCCCCTTCTGGCACCAACGGCTGCTCTGGCCAGAGAGAAGACAGAAGGGAGCAGAAGACACTGCCATCTTGTCTTCTGCCTATATCATCACTTGAGAGGCCCCTCCCCCTTCTGGCACCAACGGCTGCTCTGGCCAGAGAGAAGACAGAAGGGAGCAGAAGACACTGCCATCTTGTCTTCTGCCTATATCATCACTTGAGAGGCCCCTCCCCCTTCTGGCACCAACGGCTGCTCTGGCCAGAGAGAAGACAGAGGGAGCAGAAGACACTGCCATCTTGTCTTCTGCCTATATCATCACTTGAGAGGCCCCTCCCCCTTCTGGCACCAACGGCTGCTCTGGCCAGAGAGAAGACAGAGGGGAGCAGAAGACACTGCCATCTTGTCTTCTGCCTATATCATCACTTCAGAGGCCCCTCCCCCTTCTGGCACCAACGACTGCTCTGGCCAGAGGGAAGACAGAGGGGAGCAGAAGACACTGCCATCTTGTCTTCTGCCTATATCATCACTTCAGAGGCCCCTCCCCCTTCTGGCACCAACGACTGCTCTGGCCAGAGGGAAGACAGAGGGGAGCAGAAGACACTGCCATCTTGTCTTCTGCCTATATCATCACTGAGAGGCCTCTCCCCCCTTCTGGCACCAAGGGCTGCTCTAGCCAGAGCAAAGACAGAAGGGAACAGAAGACACTTCCATCTTGTCTTCTGCCTATATCATCACTTGAGAGGCCCCTCCCCCTTCTGGCACCAACGGCTGCTCTGGCCAGAGAAGACAGAAGGGAGCAGAAGACACTGCCATCTTGTCTTCTGCCTATATCATCACTTGAGAGGCCCCTCCCCCTTCTGGCACCAACGGCTGCTCTGGCCAGAGAGAAGACAGAGGGAGCAGAAGACACTGCCATCTTGTCTTCTGCCTATATCATCACTTGAGAGGCCCCTCCCCCTTCTGGCACCAACGGCTGCTCTGGCCAGAGAGAAGACAGAAGGGAGCAGAAGACACTGCCATCTTGTCTTCTGCCTATATCATCCACTTGAGAGGCCCCTCCCCCTTCTGGCACCAACGGCTGCTCTGGCCAGAGAGAAGACAGGGGAGCAGAAGACACTGCCATCTTGTCTTCTGCCTATATCATCACTTCAGAGGCCCCTCCCCCCTCTGGCACCAACGGCTGCTCTGGCCAGAGAGAAGACAGAGGGGAGCAGAAGACACTGCCATCTTGTCTTCTGCCTATATCATCACTTGAGAGGCCTCTCCCCCTTCTGGCACCAACGGCTGCTCTGGCCAGAGAGAAGACAGAGGGGAGCAGAAGACACTGCCATCTTGTCTTCTGTAATTTCGTTGTTCAATAACACAACGACAAATAAAGCTATTCTATTTTATTCAGATTGACAGAGGAAGCCATTGCCATCATTGTCTTCTGCCTATATCATCACTTGAGAAGCCCCTCCCCCTTCTGGCACCAATGGCTGCTCTAGCCAGAGCAAAGACAGAAGGGCACAGAAGAGACTTCCATCTTGTCTTCTGCCTATATCATCACTTGAGAGGCCCCTCCCCCCTTCTGGCTCCAAGGGCTGCTCTAGCCAGAGGAAAGACAGAAGGGCACAGAAGAGACTCCATCTTGTCTTCTGCCTATATCATCAGTTGGGAGGCTCCTTCCCCCTCTGGCACCAACGGCTGCTTTGGCCAGAGCAAAGGCAGAGGGGAGCAGAAGACATTTCCATCTTGTCTTCTGCCTATTTCATCAGTTGGGAGGCTCCTCCCCCCTCTGACACCAACGGCTCCTCTGGCCAGAGCGAAGACAGAGAGGAGCAGAAGACATTTCCATCTTGTCTTCTGTCTTTACTAATAAGTTAGAGTACTCTTGCCCCCTCCTAAAGAGAGAGAAGACAGAGGGGAGCAGAAGACACTGCCATCTTGTCTTCTGCCTATATCATCACTTGAGAGGCCCCTCCCCCTTCTGGCACCAACGGCTGCTCTGGCCAGAGAGAAGACAGAGGGGAGCAGAAGACACTGCCATCTTGTCTTCTGCCTATATCATCACTTGAGAGGCCCCTCCCCCTTCTGGCACCAACGGCTGCTCTGGCCAGAGAGAAGACAGAGGGGAGCAGAAGACACTGCCATCTTGTCTTCTGCCTATATCATCACTTGAGAGGCCCCTCCCCCTTCTGGCACCAACGGCTGCTCTGGCCAGAGAGAAGACAGAGGGGAGCAGAACACTGCCATCTTGTCTTCTGCCTATATCATCACTTGAGAGGCCCCTCCCCCTTCTGGCACCAACGGCTGCTCTGGCCAGAGAGAAGACAGAGGGGAGCAGAAGACACTGCCATCTTGTCTTCTGCCTATATCATCACTTGAGAGGCCCCTCCCCCTTCTGGCACCAACGGCTGCTCTGGCCAGAGAGAAGACAGAAGGGAGCAGAAGACACTGCCATCTTGTCTTCTGCCTATATCATCACTTGAGAGGCCCCTCCCCCTTCTGGCACCAACGACTGCTCTGGCCAGAGAGAAGACGAGGGGAGCAGAAGACACTGCCATCTTGTCTTCTGCCTATATCATCACTTGAGAGGCCCCTCCCCCTTCTGGCACCAACGGCTGCTCTGGCCAGAGAGAAGACAGAAGGGAGCAGAAGACACTGCCATCTTGTCTTCTGCCTATATCATCACTTGAGAGGCCGCTCCCCCTTCTGGCACCAACGGCTGCTCTGGCCAGAGAGAAGACAGAGGGGAGCAGAAGACACTGCCATCTTGTCCTGCCTATATCATCACTTGAGAGGCCCCTCCCCCTTCTGGCACCAACGGCTGCTCTGGCCAGAGAGAAGACAGAGGGGAGCAGAAGACACTGCCATCTTGTCTTCTGCCTATATCATCACTTGAGAGGCCCCTCCCCCTTCTGGCACCAACGGCTGCTCTGGCCAGAGAGAAGACAGAGGGGAGCAGAAGACACTGCCATCTTGTCTTCTGCCTATATCATCACTTGAGAGGCCCCTCCCCCTTCTGGCACCAACGGCTGCTCTGGCCAGAGAGAAGACAGAAGGGAGCAGAAGACACTGCCATCTTGTCTTCTGCCTATATCATCACTTGAGAGGCCCCTCCCCCTTCTGGCACCAACGGCTGCTCTGGCCAGAGAGAAGACAGAAGGGAGCAGAAGACACTGCCATCTTGTCTTCTGCCTATATCATCACTTGAGAGGCCCCTCCCCCTTCTGGCACCAACGGCTGCTCTGGCCAGAGAGAAGACAGAAGGGAGCAGAAGACACTGCCATCTTGTCCTGCCTATATCATCACTTGAGAGGCCCCTCCCCCTTCTGGCACCAACGGCTGCTCTGGCCAGAGAGAAGACAGAAGGGAGCAGAAGACACTGCCATCTTGTCTTCTGCCTATATCATCACTTGAGAGGCCCCTCCCCCTTCTGGCACCAACGCTGCTCTGGCCAGAGAGAAGACAGAGGGGAGCAGAAGACACTGCCATCTTGTCTTCTGCCTATATCATCACTTGAGAGGCCCCTCCCCCTTCTGGCACCAACGGCTGCTCTGGCCAGAGAGAAGACAGAAGGGAGCAGAAGACACTGCCATCTTGTCTTCTGCCTATATCATCACTTGAGAGGCCCCTCCCCCTTCTGGCACCAACGGCTGCTCTGGCCAGAGAGAAGACAGAGGGGAGCAGAAGACACTGCCATCTTGTCCTGCCTATATCATCACTTGAGAGGCCCCTCCCCCTTCTGGCACCA